TTGGGGGCTGCGAGTAGGCCGTGGGGCACCTAACCAACCATCAATGAATCATGAAATTAACAATGAGAAACGTGCAATTTTTTCAAGTCAATTATTCAATAACGTATTTCAATTTGCATTGCAAATAACAAACAAGAAACATGTCCTATGTGACTTGCTTTGATTGGTTAAAAATAACATCATTAGAACAGGACTGCAGTAGAAACTTGTTAGATTACAATGGAGAGGAACTATATCCGAAAAAAATTGAAAGAACATCATAATTGTAATCTATTTTTAAATATATTGAAATTAACTATATGTATAGGTGTATCTTTACACCCTCTAGGGTGACTAACTATATGTATGTTGTATTTAGATTGATAGATCTACAGTCCAAGTTAACAATATGTATCGATGTAGCTAAAGGTATGGAGTATCTTCACACCCTGCCACAACCCATCATTCATAGAGATTTAAACAGTCATAATATATTACTAGATGAAAATTGTCATGCTTTGGTTGCTGATTTCGGAGGTGAGTATGGAATCGCTTTGGCAGCCGGCCAAGATTGTTTTTAAAGAAAGGATTGTAAAAGCAATGGTGCAGTACAAGACTTCTTTAAATTTTTAAGGGGTTTTCACGTCTAAAAAATTGTTCATGATGGTATGGAATGGATGTATGAAATTCCACTATTAGTTTATTGAATTGTAGAGGAACCAGATTTTGTATTTTAATTATAAAAAGTGATGCGTATAGAAATGTAGAACTGATGAAGCAAATATTTTGGAAACAACGCCATTCATAATTCAGAAAATGAGAAAATGTTTAAGATGAGTTATGGCCCTTGCTCATCAAAACACATTCATACATATCCTCTGATGAAACTTGTCGAATGATCAAATTGAAATTTAGGAAAATGCACAAATATTGAAATAAGTTAAGGCCCTTGTTAGTTATATTTTGATTTTTGCATCATGTTATTGTATGTGTCATTCAGGGTTACCTTCAATTATATTTTGATTTTCTATAGAATCACGGTTCCTGAGATCAGCAGAAGAGGACAATATGACCAAACAACCTGGTAATTTACGGTGGATGGCGCCAGAGATTTTTACTCAGTGTACTAAATATAGTATCAAGGCAGACGTGTTCAGTTACTCGCTGTGTATGTGGGAACTACTGACTGGAGAACTTCCCTTCTCACATCTTAAACCAGGTATAATAGATCTTCTTTTTTAAGACCAGATTATTCCCCAAAATATAGTTCATTTGATTTGATTTTTTCCAAATCAGTCATCTGACTCTCCAGGATCAGTCCCAACTAAATATTAAGAATCATTTTTCTGAATTCCCAAGATCAGTCAACAGAATTTTGAAAATCAGTCGACTGAATTTCCAAAATCAGTTCTCCAAATTTTCAAGATTAGTCATCTAAATTTCTGAGATCAGTCATCTAAATTTCTGAGATCAGTCATCTACATTAACAAGATCAGTCATCTAAATTTCTGAGATCAGTCATCTAAATTTCCAAGATCAGTCATCTAAATTTCTGAGATCAGTATCTAAATTTCCAATATCAGTCATCTAAATTTCTGAGATCAGTCATCTAAATTTCCAAGATCAGACATCTAAATTTCCAAGATCAGTCATCTAAATTTCCAAGATCAGTCCAATGAAATTCCAAGATCAATCAAAAGAATTTCCAAGATCAGTCATCCATTTTTGTGTGAAAAAACTATGAATTTTAATGTGTTTTTGTTTGTCATTGTAGCGGCTGCTGCAGCAGAGATGGCCTATCATATTACACGCCCTCCGATTGGTATCACAATACCTAAACCTATCGTAGGTTTACTACAAGTTGGCTGGAATGCTAATCCAGATGTAAGTTTATAGTTAAATTCCAATATATGTTACCATGGTTTCAAACTACTAATTGCAATATTACTTTCCTTCATTGGCAAGTTCTGATCAACTGGACATTCAATAAAACAGTATGGAAAAGGGTTTAGAACATGGTCCATGTTTGCCTTGTATGTATAGATGTATATCCATATGTCTGGTTTTGAAGCCAATATGATCCATTTGTAATATAAGATGTCTGAATGTGTTATTATGAAATTTAAAAAAAAAAATAAAAATTTTCAACATAATTTTGAGGGTTTTTTCAGCTTCATTTTTTTACTCTTTTTCGATTAAAGGATCGACCAGAATTTAAAGAGATCGTACCAATTTTAGAAGAATGTAAACAATCTCAAGCCGTCGCCATGTTGAGTAACACAGACACCAAACCGATTGTGGCCTTTCCTACAGCGTTGCCAATGGTTACGGACCGTGATTCTGACGACGACGGCAGATCAACGCCTCCACTGGCAGGACACGTCTCGGCCCTGAGATCGCACTGGGAACAAGAGGCTACTAGACACTGTGATCCAGCACGTGAATTGTCTCGTGAAGAAATCAGAAGACACTTGCCCTTTCCTCAAATGGATAAGAATGGTTATGTATCAGACCCTTTAAGTACCTTAAGAATACCGATCAATATACCGAGGAAAGACAGTCGTGATAGTGAAGAAAGATCTGATCCTGAATCGTGATGGAGAAATATCCCGATTTCACTATCTTGTGATACCTTATGATATTTTGTAGCCATAACTCCCCCTGGGCAACTCACTCATTCATCATTGTTGAAATTATTGTTTTTATGCAACTGTGTTATATTTGCCAAGTATATTGAAGTCTGATTGGTCAATTTGTGTGAAATTTTAAAATGGCCAATAAGGGTTAATCTTATGAGTTGTCCAAGGGGAATAAATATAGGTGTGTAATGAGATTCAATGGATATCCCAATTCACATGGCCCGTGTGACATGGGTTTCTCATATCGCAATTTAAGCTTCTAGTAAAAGGTTATGCTAATTTGCTTATGAAAGAAAAGGCTCATTAGCTTAATAGTATTGGAAAAGGTTTTTTAGTTTTGGAACACTTATAACTTCTATTTACACTATTCTGATTCCTTTGTGTTGTCTGTGGTTCCTGTAACTCTGTAACGCAAAAGACATTTAAGCCAATAGTTTCATGATAGAGCCGTCATAATCTGGAATTACAGGAATTATGGGAGATTGGAATGGTGTACATAGAAGCTATAAGTGTCTCTGATACACATATAAAGGCAGGAAGCGCTTTTCTGGATTCTTTGGTTGCATGTTTATTAGGCTTTAAGAAAAGCTTAGATTAGTCTTTCAGGTATCTGTACTTAATGATATTAAGAGCTGTGAACAAATTTTGAAAAGATTTCAAGAGTTTTAGAATAAAGTCTCTTTGCCAGTCATGCCTAGCTGAAGCGCCAAAATGTCTGACCATCAATATGAAGCTTAGGACATTATTAATCAAAGTAGTCATAGATATTCACAAAATATTTGCTAATATTATAAGCAGGGGAGATATTTATGGATAGATTCTCATTTGACAGGTTTTAGATACCACAGCTATGCAATATCAGTAATGAAAAATCCTCTCATTTGAACCTATCCTTTCATGTAGAAGGAATTATATTATTTAAACTTCTTCCATTGGCCAATTTCTGGTATGATAGTTAATTTCATTGATGAAAACGTCTCACGCAGGAACCTCTTCCTAGGGCTTCAATTTTACTGAGTTTAGACATGAAAGCTAGAAATATTGAATCAAAATTTTCTCAAATTTGAACCTATCCATTTCAAATCTTATGTTGTCTCTGTCGAATAATTTCTTGCCACCAAGGAATTTTTTTTTTCATTTTTTTAGTCAAACATATTCTTTATTTATTCTAATACTCACAATAATCATAAATTTTGATATTTAGAGGTCCTTTTTTTCAACAATATAGAAAAGTCACAGTAATGGAAGTGATCAAAATTGAAACTGATTCAGCTAAAATGTCTAGTAGTATGTAGTGAAATTATGGTATTAAATAGAAATTTGGCAGGATATGTTTCTCCATTTGGAATAAACAAACAAATTTCCAACTAACCAAAATTATGAAATTACTTTTTTCTGTAGCACTGCCAAAAAGTAAATAGTCCATTTTGCAAATTTGCTAAAGGGATACCTATACTTTAAAAATATAATTCTTGATGGCAAAATAGAGACCAATTGTGGGAAAATACATATACCCCTTAGCATTCATACTCTTTGTTTCTGTCACTTTTGGCAGGATTTTCTACAATTTCTCCACAAGATTAAATCATGTATCCAATCAAATAACATACTATGCAATCAAAAGAGGAAATGTAAAGGGGATAATCTCTGCAATTTTACATTTACTGCTAATTTGAAATTGTCATATTAAAGGTATATTCTCTCTAAAATATTTGCTGGTAAAGCAAAATATTTAGACTTCCATATCCCTTCAACTGAAAATCATCAAAAATGTCTTAGTGTAAAAAGTTGAAATTACAGGAGATGATACCTTTAAATGCTATGTTAGTGCCTTATTATGTTTAAAGTCACTGTGTATAAGATTTTGTACTTGTATATTTTGATAACTAAAATTATACTAATGTGTTTTGTAATATTTCAAACTATTGAGTTTGGATTTGATCACTTTTCTGGATTACAATCCGACACCCGGTTCTCATACAATTCAATGAAAATATACAGAACCTTCGTAAATTGCGATTGATCGAAAGTCTATACATAAACTGTAAATAGCAGTTTTAAGCGTTGCACAAAACCCAGACTGACTCTATGGGGGGCGGGGGGTCAACAGCTGTCGAGGCTGGATTCAAAATGTGGCAACCCTGTGGACGCGTCAAAATCGCAAACCTCGCATTTAGATTCGTGCGCCCCAAATTTGTGAGCTAATATTTGGGTCATCTCTTGTATAAGGAAAATACATACAAGCAAGGAAATTCCGTCCATCAAAAATCTCGTACAAGAGAGTTGCAAAATCGGGAGTAAAAGTGGACAACTCCAAAGAGAAGTACCGTCAGGTGTTTCGAAAAGAGTGAACATTTGCTATCGGATATTTGAACTTTTGTAGGAGCTAGTTCTGGAATCGGACGAGGTACGGCTGTTCATTTTGCTAAACTCGGATCCAAATTGTCTCTTCATGGACGAGATGGAGCTACATTGGAAGAAACAGCTACTCTTTGTATAGAAGCTGGAGCCAGCAAAGAGAACGTAAGTTCAGTTATAACTGTAGACTGAAATTATATGTAAGGCAATTGCATAGATATTCGACATAGACTCGGAGTCATCTAGTTAAAGCAGCATTATGGCAAATTTCATTATCAAAAAGTCGTAATTATACCTGTAACTATTTCTGTAGTATGCTACATCTATTTTTCTATCTACTTGATCAGACTGAATTCTTTTAATGAGGGTAATTACAAAACAGAGTGTACTAATTGTTAATTAAGCAGTAAACCTTGTTGAGTCTTTTAACAGCTCAGAATAACTATAGGATATAGGATATATATTTCTCTACAACCAAATATACAGCGTAATTGAAAAGTTTACGTAAACAATTTAACCGTTTTTGGCAATCTTAAAGGGACAATCACACTTTGAAGGTTAAAAAGACGAGTCGTATTTTTTTCAGACACTGCCATATATAGAAAAGACATCTACAGACTTAGGGAAAGAAATTCCCAGTTTGAGATATCCTTGAAGGCATTGCGCGATTTTCGTTAATTTCTGGTATATATATTCACCACTCAAATCAACACCCCCCCCCCCCCCCCCTCTCCTCCCATAAAAAAAAAAATGGCGCATCGTCTTCTTCTAAAGGCTCCGTTTATCGAGATTTTGGTCTACAGTGTTCATTAATTTGAGCATCATTATTCCAGCATACTTTAAAAAAAAAAAGAGGCTGCCCCTTTAACCAATAATTTTTTTAGATATCTTATCATCCCTAATTTTGATATTCTTTCAGATCCTCACTGTTCTAGGAGACCTGACAGACGAGTCTATCAGAGAGAAAGTCGCAAATAAAACTGTAGAGAAGTTTGGACATCTGGATGTTCTGGTTAGTAATGAATATGCCTTCTTTCCAGTCCCTGATAGCTATTGGGAAAGTTGCCGATAACTGTAAACATAGTTATCAGGACTGAACTTGGCTAGACTTTTTGAGTTTCTACCAAAGTCTTTGCTATCAGAGGGCTCGGATTGGCTGTATTCGCTAGCGTACAATCCAATCAAATCACAAAATTCCATGGTACACACAAGTGCCTATTAATGTCAAGGTATTAGACAGAGTTTGTAATAGCATACTTGACATTCTGTAGGTGGTTATAAAATGGCTGCCAGGATGATGCAAAACGTCATATGATAGAATTTAACCATCTTTTTCAAGGTGAACAATGCTGGAACGGTATTTTTGTTGCCAACTTTACAGACACCAAACGATAAATTCGACCTGGAAATGGACGTCAAAAAAAAACGGAATAATAACTTCGGTTAACTAAGCCCTTTCTACCAACTGGGCCTTGACCAAACCTCTTCATAATGATCTTTCCCAGGCTATCCCGCCCATTTACAGTAGTCAACTGTGAAGAAAGGTTGCTCATTTGCACCTGACTTTTACACGCCGAGCGAGATTAGAACCCATGACCACCATTAAATTTGGAATGTAACCAAGACGTCATTTCAACGCTGTGAGCAACTGTACAACAGCCCATCCTACAAAAAGAAAATCAATTCATATTTCAGTTTGTCACCCAGCAAAATGCTGTACATCCTTTGGGAAGAATTGGCCAACCGGAAGATGTAGCTCAAGCAATCGCTTTCCTGACCTCGGATCAATCCAGTTTTATCTCTGGGCAAACCATATTTATAGATGGTGGACGACACTGTGTTAGTAGTTCGGCAGCTGTTTAATTTTATACACTTTAAAGGAAAAGATTCACCATTTTTGGGGGTTGATTGACAATTTGTTTTTGATGAAAATACTTAAAAGTCTTCAGAAGTACTAGAAATTTACGAAAATCACATAATTCCTTAAAAACTATCTCAAACTAGGAATTTCAATTTCTAATGTCTTGCTATGTTAGTTCCTTATTATGTTTAATGTCACTGTGTATAAGATTTTGTACTTGTATATTTTAATAACCAAAAATAATACTAAAAACCTTGAGTGTTACTTTTGTTTTACTAACCAAGACTAAGATAATGCTACATACTTGGCATATCTTCCCTTATTGTACACTTCATGACTTTTCCCGTCTTCATTAGCCCACATGGTGCAGAAAAGTAGGATGTAAAACTCCATTCATTTCAGTTTCATTCTTAACCTAGCTTTTACATCGCCATATTGCGACAATACTATATGACAGTATCGCCCAAATTCACTTTTAACTGATAACAGTCTAAGGGAGGTAACTGCGTAGCTGATTAAAGATAACCAACTTTGACAAACTCACTGCAAGAAATATTAAATTTGCGTCTATAGAATCGAAATGGAAAGTCTTAAAGATAAGGTGGTCCTTATAACAGGTATTAGTTTTACGTCATTGGAGAATACGTTGAAAGTATAGCCATTTTGAAAGTTTCAAATTCTAGATTGTCATCAGTCGGTCTATCTGAGTTTGAGCGACACATTTTAGATAAGTGCTAGAGTCAAATATACTAGAGCAGCTAAAATAACATCAAAATTTATCAAGCGTCAACTGCAGGTTCGAGATTTAATTTAGATTTATGAACTTGATAAGCCTACGTAAGCATCACCTGCGCATCATCTGACACATTACATTCGGAAACCTTTGACAGGTTCCGTTAAGCTGGACGCCGGAAGCGGAAGTATCACGGTGGACCGTTTCTGGACCAATTTAAGGGGCCATTACTTGTCATATTATTTGCAACTATTTGATTTTGCAGGAGCTAGTTCTGGAATTGGACGGGGTACGGCTGTTCATTTTGCTAAACTCGGATCCAAATTGTCTCTTCACGGACGAGATGGAGCTACATTAGAAGAAACAGCTACTCTTTGTGTAGAAGCTGGAGCCAGCAAAGATAACGTAAGTTTAACTGTTACATCATTTTCACAATTTAAAGGTATTGCGATCTCCGTCTTATACTTTGACATCCTTAATTACCTCTTTTATCACGGTTTGAAAGTGTCAGAGCCGAGGCTCAGGCATTAGATTACCAATAAAATGTAAAAGAAATTGTAAATAATCTGTAATATATTTAGTCTCCGACACCCAGACTTCTCCTGTCTACAACTTTGCAGCTGTGCATAGATAGGACTGGATATTAGAGGCTACAACATATACAGCTGCATGGAAACTTTAGAAGCTACCGAATGAAGAAATGAGTCACGAATTTTCATTTTTAACGCCAATATTTTTTTTTGCAGATCCTTACTGTCCTTGGAGACCTGACAGACGAGTCTATCAGAGAGCAAATCATCACTAAAACAGTAGAGAAGTTTGGATGTCTGGATGTTCTAGTAAGTAAATGAGTTTAATTAAGAAATGGCATCCTCTCAATGTCAAGCCATTTCCGTCTAATACTTTGACAGCATTAAGCACTTTTCTTGTTTGGCGGAATTTATTAAATGCAGTGTTTTGATTGGATTATACTTATAAAGTATAAGCCTGGCAAGCGATCCTTTAAACTTAAAGGGTCAGGTGCGCCATTTGTAAATAGTCTTCAGAAGTACTAGAAATGTACGAAAATCGAATACTTCCTTCAAAAATATCTCAAACTAGGAATTTCCTTTCCTTTTTCTATAGATATTTCTATATATGTGACAGTGTTTCATAAAAAGACGACTCGTCTGTTTAACTTTCAATCGCGGATAATTCTGAATACACATGGATTTGAAGGTTCAAATTTCGTCGGTGAGCTGTGAACAATATTACTGAATGGCTTACCTAAAAAAAATCCCGGTTCTGAGACTAAGTTATGATATGTCAAAAAATGAGGCAACTGTCCCTTTAATTGGCATGAGCATTTTCTTTTCAAGGTTAACAATGCTGGAACTCTCTTTTCCTCAACAACTCTACAGACACCAAACGATAAATTCGACTTGGTAATGGACGTCAATCTTAAAGCACCGTTTGCTCTGACCAAACTGGCAGCGCCGCATCTTATCAAATCTAAAGGTAAGGATGTCGAAATGAACGCGTAAACGAACTCGTGACCTAATTTCCATTACAAAATACGATATCATGTTGCTTTTCATTTCGGGAAATGGAAGGTTTGACACCTCCGCCCAAAAATAGAAGTAGCCTTTTGGGGCTGGAGCAGACTTAAATTAAAGAAGTACATTTGTTCGATAATCCTCACAATGGTCAAGCTATTGCGAACTTTGTCGTATACCTTGACTACAATTGCCACCTTTCAGGTATCACAGAGAGCAGAATTTGATAGGATTGTAGGCAAGCGAATACAGCGAATCATAGCCCTAGACAGATAAACTGTTAAAATTGTGGCTTATTGTCTACAGACTTGCTATCGAGGACTCTGATTGGCTGTATTCCCTAACGTAATTCGACCAAAATGGCTGCATTTACAAACTTCCGTGATACAAGAAAGGTGGCTATTGCAGTCAAGGTATAAGACAAAGTCTGTTTGACATTGTGAAGATAATGTTCTATATATGTTTAAATATTTCATATTGCTCTGGATTATTTTCCAGGATGTATCGTCAATGTGTCCAGTATATGTGGAGCTAGGGCGGTAAGTTTACACTAAATTGTCCACTTTTGCGTCCCTTCAATAAATCTTGTTTTATTTGTCCGTGCCAATAAAATTTCTTTAAATCGAACGCAACTATTCTCCAAAATTGTCCAAAATTTATACGCGTGCATTTCGAAACTGTGTTCCAAAAACTAAAACAATAATTCGAAATACGAAAATAACGCAAACTCAACTGTGCTTAGCACCATGGCAGTTCTTTTGTACAGTTAGCACTTCATTTTTGTGATATAGGTTATATGACTGTTTGCACGTGCATGTTTTTCACTAATTATATATCATGGCCTGCATTTTCAGATGCCGGAGATAGGAGTATATTGTATGAGTAAAGCTGCCTTAGATATGTTTACTGAATGTATTTGTCTAGGTACGTATCAAGACAATTAATTTAGGTCTATGGGTGTAAAGGCTGTCGAGGCTAAGTTCAAAATGCGACATCTCTGGAGGGGTCATAGTCGCAAGCCTCTTAGGGAAGCTTTTAGAGGGTTCTTTTCGACAAAATTGTCGAAACCTTGAATTTTGTTGGTGTATTCTAACACATATTTTAGGGTAAAAACGAATGAAAATCATATTTTTGAATTTGTTTAAAATTTAGATGGGGATACAACCGTTTTTTTTTTGGGAGGGGGGGGGGGGGGCAAATGCCCTCCAGTACCCCCACTGGAGCAACCACAGTGGAAGACTATTGGTACCAGCAACAAAACCCGTATATTGTTCATTTTTCATTTTAGAGCTGGCACCAAAAGGCGTTCGAGTTAATTCGGTAAAGTAAGCATTGATTTTTTTGCTTTGAGAAATTTATCATTAAATGGACGGGTTGGCAACCGGTTGACCAATCTTACCTTAGTCTCAGAAATAGGAATTTTTTTTAGCTAAGCTAATCAGTAATAGTGTTCACAGCTCACTGTCAGAATTTGAGCCTTTAAATCCATGTGTGTCCAGTATTATCCGCGTTTGAAAGTTAAAATGACGACTCGTCTTTCTTTAGACTTATCAAGCTACTATTTATGATGTCATTTGTTGCTTAATTTCAGTCCGGGAACAGTAGTTTCGAACATTCATCGACGTGAAAGTAACAGTAAATATAAAAAAGACGAAGCTTATGCACAGGTTTGAATCTTTTCGTTTTATTTCGAGTTTCTAATAACGATGCCATCTTTTCAGTCCAGGAATAGTCATTTCTAACATTCATCGACGTCAAACTAACAGTCCATATAAAACAGACGAAGCTTATGCTCAGGTTGGTGTATTTTGTTTTATGGAAGACCATGTAGTCATTCAAACGGTACAATAAGTTGAGAGATGAAAGTGATGGAGAGGGGGGGGGGGGGGGGGGATTCTGTATTTCTGTCAGGTCTGTATCCAGACTTAATTGTTTACGGAGGGGCAAGTAACATATCCGAAGGGGCCAGAGGCGGAGCCAGGTTTACGTCCAAGAGGGGGCGAGGGGGGAGCGAGATATTTGAGATTGCCCGAATCTTTACCTAGTTATGGGGGGGCG